TGTGCATTATTGTGCATTTTTTGGAAATACTCATCTTTCTAATTGATGAAAATGGCTGTATTTGTAATTTAGGAACAAAAAAACATTGCAACAGAGGTTTATTGGATAACCCAATAGCAAATGTCAACAGAAAAATTATTCTATAATTTAGTTTCATTATTACATGAAATGCTGATGGCTGCTTTACAGTAGAGAAATATTATCTCTTTAATGTCATCGTAGAAAACTATTTCCTACCGCAGTTTGATGTTGCATGATGAAGTGCTGTGTATTTGGTTTGCGTCATAGGGAGGAATATAATCTTTCTATCCCTTTCACTAATTTTGCTTACTATCATTGCTGTTTTTCTTAGTTAATATTAAAAAAACTAGAATTACGATCAGTTAATGGATGCTTTATTTATTTTTTGTGAAACATTTCACAATTTCTTATTATTTTTCTTTATCTTAATTGAGGTCTGATCTGTTAATTCACTAATTAGGTCATTGTCTGATATCTTATTAATTTTCAAGTATAGGAGGGAGATTGGTATTGATAATTTGATCATAGAGGTGCATAACAGCAGGGTGCATAAACTAGCTTTCTTTGATCAGCAATATGTGGTACTCTTGGTGTTACCTTGTTCTAATATCATTTTTGTTATGATATTGATTACAGCTCCAAAGTTTGACTTTTAATGAAAAAGCAAATGTAGTATTGTTTAGTAAAGCTCCAATAGTATTTTTTTAGAAGAATTAGAAAAAATAACATTTATAACATGTCTTGCATGGTTGGTTTAAGTTCGGAATGGTTGAAGTTTAGAACGTCCTGCATAATATGACTTTTGAATGCTTTTGATTATGATGTCAGTTTTACATTCCACTGATACTATAAATGGTTTTAAAATATTTAAATTAAATTTACTTTGCCTTACAGGTTTTACACGCCTTGAGAAGGTTGAAAGGGACTTCAAATAACAAGAAGGAAAAGATGTCATCCGAGATGAAGCATGTTTTTGATCAGCTTACTGAGGATGCTGACAAGTTGATTCAGAATGGTGAATATAGTAAGTGTTTTTTTTTCCGAATTAGTAGTTTACTCGAATTACAAAGTATAAAAAGTATCACATTTGCTAAAGTCACTCATTTCAACCATTACTTAGAGAGGTTTAAGAGAGAACATTTCTCTCAACCAAAGTGCTTGAATTGTTGGTAGGCAAATTTCGATGCTTGCCTTGTCTCTAAGTTCTTAAAGGCATCAAAAAAATGAAGAGAGTTAGCCTTGTTTTCAAGTTGGATTTTGAGAAGCCTTATGATAGAGTCAACTGTGGGTTGGTTCCAGTATAAGATGATAGAAAAAAAAGGTTTTGGGGTTAGATGGAGATCTTGGATTAGATTATGCTTGTTATTTTTGTCACTTTATGTGTGATTACTCACAGGTAACTAAAATCCTAGCTTAAAGGTCATTAATGATTTGGCAATGGAATTCCTAGTGTCTCTCTTCTTATTTCCTTTGGTGGTGGGTTCTTAACATGGTGCTCAGCAGGGAAATTGAGATGAGGAATCTATTCATGGAGGAGGAGGATTCTAAAATTTCTTTTTTGCAATTTGTAGATGATATTATTCTTCTCTTGCCTAAGGATAAGATTATGAAGCTCAATGGATGTTTGTAGGTCCTTTGGTTGGAAAGAAATGCAAAAATTTTTAAACACTGTTCTAATTTGGTTGATGACCTTTGGTGTGCCTTGTCTCTTAGAACTTTTTTTTATGGGACATTCCTTTATCTATGCTACAAAACGAGGATGCTATTTAATATTTTTCACAGGCTATTTTTCTTATTTCGTAAATCTTTTGTGCGTGGGGGGTACCTCTTTTTGGTACCTTGTTAATATATACCTTACAATTTTTATCTAAAAAAAATGTTATTTTCCTTATTTCTGCGCTTTTTTGGTAATCTCTCTTTTTGTTCCTTATTGGAGGAAGTCCTTTCCTAGCTTTTAATTCCTTTGTTTTTTCTAATAAACCTTTTTTATCCTCCTTCCTGGAAAAAAAAATGTAGAAAGAGAAAACAGAATATACTTTGTTGTTGTATTATACACATGGCTGTGCTACGCATCATGGTTTCCCTCCCCTGACAAGCTAATAATTTTTTCCCAGTCTTATTGTAGTGCTTACTTGTCTTACACCTGCCCTTTTTGCAGATGTTTATCATGAGAAACAGGAGGTTTTTGAGCGGGAGGCAGGTTGGTGAAAAGCTTCGTGTTTTTCTACTTATCTTCAACTTTTTCATTGTTGTTCAAGCAGTTTTATTTATTGGTCAAGTAGGGTGCACATCCTTATGGATTTTGGGAAAAAGTGTGCAATTGCTTTTGATTGCCTTTGGATGCTCTGTGAGATCCTTTGTCACATGGAAGTTTATGTATATAAAATGTTTCTTGGTTCCAAAGCCTATGCGTTCATTGTTTTGGTTTGTTGCCGTGTAAGATAACCAGATGCTTCTATGGTTTCTGTTCCCGGTGAGTTTTAGTCTGTAAAGATGGGTAAAAGAACTCCAGTTAAATGATGATAAGTGCATTATTTATATCTGGATTACTTATTTATATTCTCTCTATTTATCATATTTTCAGAAGGATATGAGATGCTAACTAGAGCAAAGGAAAATGGAGGATCTGATGCGGGCAAGAATTTGCTCCCTGATGTAAATGACACTGGAGTAGGCTCTTCAATATTGTCCAATTCTGCTGCTGGTACTTCAAAGCTGGATGTAACGGCTGCAGATATTGGAAGCAGTGGCGATGATGCTTATGATATGTTTGCGGATGAAGATGAATACAATACTGACAAATCATCAAATAATAGGACTAATTTATCTTCTGGCCCCAATTCAGATGCAGTCAATCAGTCTTCATCGAATTCTTTAAACATGGATTCAGAAAGTAAACTTCCTCTCTCCACCAAAAATCTTTTGATGTAACAGTCTAACCTTTTTTTTTTAACTTTATTATTCTGACACATAGTCTGCTTGGTAGGTGGAGCCTTACAAACCTCCATGAATGATGGATCTTCTGATTATATTTATGACGAATCTTCTGGGTATTCATTCTCACTCTTTATATCTTAGAAATAGCTGTTTTAAATTATTTATGTTGGAAATTGTTTGTAGCTTGTTTTGTTAGTGGTTTTAAAAAATGTGTGCCCGATTTCTCATTTCGGTATGCCAGTATTGTATGATGGTGGACATCCTCTGCGCTGTTGCGGGTGGTAGGTATTTGCATGGTTTAAATGACTGGACAATGTTTTCAAAACAATAGTGTTCCACAACTACAAAAAGTGTCGGTTTGGTAAACATGCAAAGGAAAAGAACTAATTTGATAGTTATCCTAGTTCAGTTCGCTGGTGATTTTGTTAAGACATCAGTTATCTGTTCTAGATAGTGAAAAATTACTTATTTAAAAAAAAAAAGTTAGTGAAAAGTTACAGAATACGGTTTTGGAATTTCCCTTAGGGGATTATGCTTGTAAATTTGAATTTTCTCCTTAATCACTTATACAAAGGAAAAAGCCTATTTGGTCAGATAAGAATTTTTCATTGTAAAAAAAAACTGGGGGTGGCTTCATGTAGTCATGCACATTGCTGAATCATGTAAATTTCCTGTATGATTTGCCACATCCTCTCTCCTCTCTCCTCTCCCAAGGTCTCTAATACAATGGATGTCCACCACTGTATTATTTCCTGTATTTTGTCCCTGTATTATTAACATCCATTCACCAGAGTCTTGTCTTGTCTCGTCAACTTATCAATGGTAAGAATACGTTCTCTGCTGGCCTCCCAAACAAAAAAAGAGATTCTGGGTGATATTCACCTTCCAATTTGTCTAACTGGGAAACTGATGCTGTTATGATCATGTTTAGTCAAAAACTTATAGTATGACTTCACCAAAAAAAGCCTATTCTTGGTCAGAGACCACATTGCACTATCATTGCTACCATCCAGGTACACACGAGATAAAGTGCCAAGAAGTTTCACATACTCATTAATAAGCCAGTCATTGAGATTTCTCACAATAGTTATTTGCCACACCCTCTCTCCTCCCCCAAGGTCTCTAAAAGCTTCATTTTCTGTTATTCTATTATTTTGATTTCTTTTTTTTTTCTTTTTTTGTCTCTTTGTTGTATATGTATATTCTTTAGTTTTTTCTGTTATAGGAGAATATCTTATCGTTCCTCCTTGTTTCCCTTTCCCTTCTAATAACACTTATTTCCTTGTAAAAAGTAAATGAAAAAATTATGGAGTTAATTTTACTTAGCTTATTTAGTAATTTATTTACTGTTGGAAAAAATTGGTCAACATTTTCTTGGAGAACTAGGAACTTGTAATCATTCTTTGCAATTTTGACATGAGCTGGAGTGTATAATGGTCAATACATAATTTGTTCATAGGATTCTGCAAATTTCGTGTGATGTGACTAAATGAGAGTGAAAAGCTTTTTTTTCTTGTTCAAATGACCTATTTATATGTTCAGTCCATCGTTGTGGGTTTCTGAGATCATATGCTACAGTTCTTCTAAATAGTAGTTATGATAATTGAAAAATTAAAATCCAAATTCTTAACGAGTTCCATTAGAAACTATGTATTTTTCAATCTAACTGCAGCAAATTCTTGTTCAGGTACTATTACAGCAGCAGTTTGGGTTACTACTATGACCCATCCACTGGATTATATTACTCTGCAGCATTGGGCCAATGGTAATTGTTAGATATTATAATATATTTTCCTATATGGTATTTTCGCATATAGTGTTCTCCCGTACAAGTTAGTGTTAGTTTCCTGTTTATAGTTTTTTTCTTGTTCTCCTTACAATAAAGCCACAACATTTGCTTCAATATGGCCTATAGTAAGCTAAAGGGTAAGCAAAAATTATAGTCGTGCTAAAACATTACGAGAGAGTAAATCAGGTCTGTTGTTATTGGAGTTTCAATTCAGTGGATCCAACTCTGAAGTAAAATTGCTAGCCATAAGTGACCAACCAGCATTACCCCACGCTACTGAACACTGACGCACTAGGTCTACATGTTAGTCAGGGTGGTTTCTGGAGGTAATTTGAGCCTCCTTGCTTGGTCAAATTTTCATCCTCTTTCTAGTCTTCTCTGGTTTTACGTTTTGGTTGGCAGCTTGGATGACTTTGGCAATGTCTTCAAGTGGTTTTCTTTCGTGACGTTGGTCCTCCTAGTGCTAGTATAGGGTGATTCTTTTGTTGTAACCGCAAATGTTTCTGTTTCTTAGAGAGTGTTTGGCTTGGTTTATGTTTTAGTCAAGAGGAGCTTATAAGCTCTCAAAGGGCTCATAAAATTTTGCTGATGTGCTTGGCAGTTGGTAGAGAGCTAATAGTCCTTGATTTTGTATTGGGAGGGACTAAGGGCAACTTTGATGTTAGAGAGCCTACAAGCTGACCAAGTGAAGCTGAAATGTCCATAAAATAACTTTTGAAGTCCTAATCTTATAAAATCCAAAAAATTCACCCGCACACCTCCTCCATCATGTGCCTCCTCTGAACAATGGGCATCCTTTTATTTCTTTGAAAATTGCATTTTAGATAAAGATGCTAGAGGATGAAAGACAAAGCATGAAAGTAACACTATGTTACCTTTTCAAGGACTCGTTCTCGTTCTAGTATTATTTTTTCTGAAATAAAAAATATGAACTCATGCTAGTCAAGAAAAAATAAATAAACAAAATGAAGAGATGAGAGAAGAAGGTAATGAATAGAAGAGGTAATTTCAGCTCTTGCTCTCGTTCTAGTATTCTTGGAATGAGATTAAGAATGCTAATGAAGAGAAGAGAGGAGGGCTAAGACAATATTATACTAATGTTTATATATAATGCTATTTTTTAAATCTTTTAAAAAGATGTTATTGGTAAAATAATTTCATAATGTTAATATACAATCAAGTTAAATACTTTCATAGGATGAAAAACTCTGGTCCTGTAACACTTTCATTCCCAATTGGTGTTGGTTAATAGAGAAATTATGACCAACAAAGAGCTGAGTAGGCTGCCAAAGTGTTCCACTTCAACTTAAGTAGTGAGACCAAGCTGTCGAGACCAAAGCTAGATGATTTGGGGATGAATGAGTCACTCTGCTCTTGCAACAGGGACAACGACCCAGGTCCAAGTGGCTTCTTCATAGACATCCTTTTCTCCTACTAAAGTTAAGGATGATATACTGATGTTTTTAGGAACTTGTAATGTTTAGAAAGTTGGCTAGTGGTCAGTTCTTCCTTTTTAGCGCTCATTCTTATGGGTGGACTTTTTAAAGACTTTAGATCTGTTGGTTTGGTGGGAAGCATTTGCAAACTTATTGTTAAAGTCTTGGTTGGAAGGTTGGGTAAGATAGTCAACGAAGGGGTGGGGGGAACTCAACAAGCTTTTGTGGGAGGCCCAAAAAGTTAGATACATCATTCATTGCTAAATGGTTGATCTAACTTGAAAGGGAACCTCAGGTTTATTTCGGAAATTGGACGATAGATAAGCTTATGATCATGTTCCATGCTTCTTTTTTTTTCCATATATCCTTGGGAAAATGGATTTTAGTGAGAAATGCTGTAGATGAATTTCTCAATGCAATTTGATGGTCTCTTTTCCGTTTATCAAATGTTGGACCATTTGATTTTTGGTCCTCCTAGTGTTTCAGACGAGGCAATCTCCCATCCCCAATTTACTCTTGCATTGAAGCTTTTAATTGCCTCCTTTTAGAAAGGACAGGCTATTTGTGGTGAAGGGGGTCAAAATGTTGAGATTTCATGTTTTATGTTTGTAGATGCCACATTCTTTTTCTGAGATAGTGCTGCCCTGATTAACATTAGGTGTGTGCTTTTGGTGCTTCCTACCTATCCGGACATGAAGGTGAATTGGGGTATTCTAAATTGGTGCTGGTTTGGAAGGGAGTGAATTCTGATGAATGTACTTAGATTATAGTGTGTAAGGTCAGTATCACTTCTTCTGGGGTGATAGGGTTGAGTGTAAGATAACCTTGTGGCTCTAATGAGCGATGAGGGTTTAATTATAAGGTCATTGCAAAGGTCCAATCAAGCTCTTGCTTAAATGGAAATGGTGGTTTTTGTCTTATATTCATTCTATATGGGAGAAATGCATTAACAAGTTTGATTTGTAGCAGATAGGTTGTGTGTCTGGTTGATTGGAGGTGCTTATGACTTTACTTCTTGGGGATAGATTTTGAGGAATTTGGTAGATTTTATAACCATATTCATTTCAAGGTGGTGATGGCAGACAG